TCGAATAACCGTTCATTTAATCAACATTTATCATCAAAATCCAAAAATACAAAAACGTAACATAATTTTTTATTTAAGTAGAATAATCGTTTCACACCGAGGCTCAAAGATTTATCATGGAAAAATACAGATGCGATAAATTTATTGAGCACAAAACACGTGTCAAGTTTAGATGACAAAAAGATAGCTACGATTCCTCGATATCATTTTTTTTCCTCTAAAAGCGTACAAAATTTGTTAAATCCTCGAGAAACTTTGCATTGAAGGATTAAATCCAGGTTTCGAGTTAACTGAGGACCTCGAATATCGATTTCATCGGCGAAGCGGATGAGAGGAGCCATCGAGCTCTAACTAACTAATGGCAGCCGGCGCAACGCTACCGATATCATTAATATTTATCGAAGCGATTTTATTATAAGCCCCATTTGCCTACATTGCCTAAGAACCTGTACTTCGGGCCGCGGAATCGTCCCCGTTATCTAAAGACGAAGCTTCGCTCGTAGCATAAAATTTTACTGGTTTACCGTTATAATGAAAACTGCCGAGACGAGCTTCCGCGAGGACTTTAGCGATAAACATAACGGCGTTACAACCTGATGTAACGATTATGTAACGTAATATACAATATAATCTTAATACGCGGATATAATTAATTGCCGAAATTTGAATGTGATTTACATGTTATATCGAGTAAATGTGATTTATGATTTAATTCTTCCAGAAGAAGTTTCTCCTAAACAAGAAAATCAGACGGAGAGAATTTTCCGCGAATTATTACTTTACGTTAAATTATACGATATCTCCTCCTGTAGTTTCGAATTTTCGCTCACTAAATATAGTGGTAACTATCTCACATTAGACCTCGGTTTAATGTAAAATGTGCGTGAAATTAAATTCATAATAAAATTTAATTATTAATGTGGGCCCTGAGGAATATAATTAAAAATCAGAAACATTTAACTTATAATATTAAATTAATGTCTAATTAGGTCACTATTTCGCGCTGTAAAAGTCAATTTTAAAATTTAATAAAGAATAATATTTTTGTTATTACTATACAAATTTACTGAAACATTTTATATCGAACGACAGCAACACATGCGTCCAATGGCAATCGTCGAAAACCAATATGTGTATCGGTGCATGCTATTATCTCTTCAATAATTACCACCAACTGAAAACAAATTGTCGACAATGCATTTTTATTTCCGTCCGTGTATACTTTACGCAAATTTTATATCTGTAAAAATATGAAAATTATATCAGCGTATCCGCCATCCCCTTCGCTTAAAGTACTGGCAATTTATATTACTTTTTTATTTATTTGCATAATTTATTTCGAGTGCTGGAGGCAAATGTACGTTCCACATTTATTCCAATAAAATTTTTATAATATTGATAGGAAATATTGAGAAATAATTTGAGACTGATTGGGAAATATGAGAATCTACGAATATGCTGCCGCTGGTTTATAAGAATTCTATGGTCAAGGTCTTATGTCTTTTTATAAAACCGGAGTCACTCGACAGCGCTTCTTATACCACGTTAGCAAATATGCAAACATATGACGTCATCCCTAATCACCTCCAGGGTCTCGGATATTTTATGCTAATTATATAAATATAGAATCATATCTATTTTTCGTGTTTTTCTACGTTATAAAACTCTCACTTGTTAAAAGCCAAACAAATTTACCGTTGAAAGCGCATATGTTTTTTTTTTTTTATAAGATCATTCGTATTTTTATAAGGCAAAATATATACATACAGTATAAAATTGAGCAGAATTTTTTGAATAAGAGAAAGAGAATGATTATTTATCTAAAAACAAGTTGAAAGTACAGTATAATTTTTTATAAATAATGTTATAAAGCACGCTAAATTATATTCAAAGTATACATAATAAACTTTATTATAATTTTTTAAAATTATTGTATTTTTTCGGGTTTTTTTATATGAAAAATCATGCATTCATTGTACATTCCATTCTGGCGTTTTTAATTTTATAAATATAAATAACTTGCATTTTTATTCATGAATATAGGAAATTTATAAATATCAACTAATTGCTTTTATTAACATTAATATGGCTTTATAAAATTTGTTCATATAAGCATTTCTTCTTGCATACAATATGAATAACAAATAGACAAACAGTTTTTTTTTTAGAAAAAAAATGTCAAAATAAATTGTCATATGTTATGTATATTATCTGTTTTCAATTTTAAATATTTTCCTGAGTACTTCTTTATAAGTAAATAAATTTGTTTCGCTATATATCTGTATAATATTTCTTTTATTAACGCACTTAGAATTCTTAATGAAACAAGATAAAAGACGAAGAAGTTGAAAAGAACAGAGAAAATGAGTATATTAACATTTTAAAATCTTTGCAAAAATTTTGAAATCATTAAAAATATGCTCTTTTTCGCATTTCAAATTGTATATTGTATAACAAAACGTATTTGCATTAATATTTACATAAATGTTACGTGAGCATTAATAACAAATGAAAAATAATTAAATAATAATGAAAAGGAGAGAGAAAGAAAGAATCGAAAACTGATATCTCGGACGAAAGAAAAAAAAAAAAAAAGGAATTCAGATGCAGTTCGTTTGCAGTACTGTTTGCTTTAATAATTAATAACAGAACCGAGTTTACGTCAACACAATCGTAACTTAATGACGCGAATTTTTCATGAAATTCTGTCACGGGTCTGCTCGCAGACCACGTTACACGTGAGCACCGACGCAAGCCCGCACGTTTGCAGACGATTGACCTCTGTGAGATAGTGACCATTTGTAGCAGCCTAATTTCCATTTATTACGCAATTGATGCAATTAGACATGTCAATCGCGGGATAATAGGCCGGCGCGCGGGTCGGCCAACCGCGGCCGCACGAAGCGGATCTCTCGCTAAAGTCAATCGAACAAAAAGATATACATATGGAACAAACTAAATTATTAACAAGACGAGGTGTTGACTTACGTTAAGCGACCTCGGCGCTTTCCTTCTTGACCGCCATGCTTGTTGATCATTAATTGATGAAATGTGAAAAGCGAGAGAAAAGGGAACGCCGAGGTATGCGGCGGCGTTACATTTCACCGCTTTGATAAATCATGATTCCGCATGAAAAGTTGGTTGTTATAATTTGTAAAACTTTACTGCGAACAGGAAGAGATACAATTTTAAGGAAGAAGCAAAATTCACAAGAGAAGTGAATGTTAATAATATCAAGTGTTAATTTTTAACGTGATATTTTTAATACAATACTCGAGATGTTTCTCTTGTTATAACTTAAATGTCACCTTTTATATTTTATTCACGAGTTTTATGTTTTGCTACTTGAAACTTGTTCGTGTTGGGATTTTTTTCTCTATATCATACCCTGGATCTTCTATATTACTCGAAAAATTTAAACTTTGGCACGTGGCGTGCATAACCGTCAATTATCTATGCGATGAAATTTCATGAATGGCATATATATGAACTAATTGGAAAAGAATAGACTTTAGTAAGTCTAAATAGAAACAGGAAATTATATTCCGATTTTGCAAATAGACGTCCTCGAGATCTCGTTATACAATTCGAAATGTTACCTGTCAAAAGATCCCACAATATTATTTATTACCATCGTTAATTATCGCAATCAAAAATTCCTCGACTTAACTCTCCTAATACTTTATTCTTTAGCTGGAAACCCAGATTTTTACCAAAAATCCTTCTTGAAAAATTTACGAATGTCATCAAAATTTATATTAGTTTAACAGTTTGTCATTCTTTCTGAATTCCCATGATGCTCTTTTCTTTAATTCGCCCAATCTCGTAGATACGTAGGTTTCCCTCTCCATTTCTATCTATCATTCATCATATCTCTTTTCTCTCTGCTTCGTAAAATTCTGAATAATCGTTTCCCAGGATGTCTATTCAAAAAAATCGAAAAAGATTCCCTGAGAATTCCTAATTTCCAAAGCAATTTGTTAAAAATTCCAGGTAAAGTAAAAAATATTTTTAAATGTTAGTGTCTTAGAAACAAATATAGATTTATTGTGAAAAATCTTTAATATTCCATTTTCTTTAATTTTCCATTCCTAAAAGTTTATAAATCATAAAATAAAAATCACTCGAGTATATCGATAACCAAATTTGAAAAATTTTGAAAGAAACTACAAAGGATTCAAAAAAATAAATATTTTATATTTAAAATAATATTTGCAAATTTTATATCTTAAAATTTTCAAATTTTATTTTCAAAAGCTATAAACAAAAAATTATATAAAGTATAATAGATACAAAATTCAGCTTTTATAAAATTATTAAAATAAATATCTATTTTTATTAAACAAAATTGCATCTAATACGATATTTATACATCAATATCGAATATGGAATTATTCATAAAATGAATGTATTCTGATGTTTGTAATGGACATCTTCTGTTATTGTCAACAATTCAATCATTAAACTCTCGACTATTAAGGCGAGTTTTTTAATTCATTGATTAATAAATTACATTATGCGCAAATGCAACTTTGCTTTATAAAAACAGCATTTGCGCATTATGCAACTGATCAATCGATGAATGGATCGAGAAAACTCGTCTCTTTATATAACAAAATATTGGAAAAAGCAATTTTTTCAAAAAGATTTCTTAATTTTTCAATAAATTCCTCGAGAGAATTCCAGGTGTGTGTTTTTTCAGATTTTTCCAGGTAGGTACCCTAGTTTTCTGCTCCTCTGCGTCTTATGCAGGTCAGAAGAACTTTTTTTCTACAGGACGTTCCCGCGAAAGCCTTCGATATTATTATGCATGCGATCGAATCACGGATTATGCAGCAGTTAACTGCGCACAACTACGGTCAGTTACGCGATGGACTCATCTGCGAGCGATACCTTTTATTTTTCGCGTGTTTGTTCAAAGCATCTCTTCTCTCTCTCTCTCTCTCTCTCTCTCTCTCTCTCTCTCTCTCTCTCTCTCTCTCTCTCTCTCTTCTCTCTCTCTTCTCTCTCTCTCTCTCTTTCATTTTTATCGCATCGTGCCGCTCCTTGTCGTTCTGCTCTTCAATCTCGTCCGCGCGAGGCGAAGCGAAGCGAGGCGAAGCGAGGTGAAGCGAGGTAAAGAAAGGGGAAAAGAGAGCCAAACTGCGCATCGTCGTCCGAGGACTCCGCGGGTGTCCGGACGATCGATAATCCCGAGGCACGGGTCGATTCTTCACCGCGTCTTAGGACGGAGTGACGGCGGGGAAATCGGTCGCCGACGAAGCGGAATGGTCAGGGAATGCCGTAAGTCGGACTCAGCAAACGTGACTGGCGCACGAGCTGGAGAACGCTCTCCGTCTCGTCGACGGGGAACGGCGGGACAGCGGGCGCCTCCGCGACCAATTCGCTCTCGGTTATCGCTTTACTTAAAGGTGAATTAAATATCTCCCGTGCCGACACGCGTCTCTCCCGGTTGCGTAATGACGGTGATAATCGATGAAAAACACGCAGCGCCTTCTTGGCCCCCTGTTCTCTCTAACCTCTATCTCCGTCTCGCGGCGCCTTCGCGGTATCATGTGTCACGTTTGCCGTGCCGATACTTAGATGATCGTTTGGATGCTTTGGATTGCTAGGTCAGTTACAAGCGGCACGGCGGCCTGCAATCCGGGGATGTCGCACCACGGACGTAGCTCGTAGGTGAGATGTCTCGCAGTCTGCCGGAGAGGGTGGCTGGGCTCTACTACGCCCACGGCCTATTCTGCTCCTCCCATCCCGTCATCGTACTCTCGTTCGCGATATCGGTTCTCCTATTATGCTGGTGAGTTAATTACCGTCTCGTTTATCGGCGCCCGAAGCGGGCCCGATACATCGATTGATTTTGATTTATTCGTTGCAGCTGTCCGCTTGTCAATTTGCCCATGCCGGGCAATGCCCCGAAAACCCTGATCAACGATACGGTTCCACCGGAGAATGGCACGGAAACCTCGGTACTCTACGTCCAACAAGTGGTGCTAAGAATCGGAGTGATACCATGGAGCGAAGATCTGACGCTGATGGATGCCTTCAGAGGACCCCTATACGAAGTGTTCAATCTCTTGGAAATCATACAGAACTACCAGCATCCAGAAACGTGAGTGGCTTTCTCTAAAGACCTGTTTTTTTTTTTTTGTTATCGCTGCACTAGAATTTTTCACTTTCACCAAACCTCAAATATGTATTTTATTTCAAGTACAATAAGTGTGTAGTTCAGTTACAAGAACATGTCTTAAAGAGCCAATAGTGCACTTATAGTAGCAAATAAAATCGATGTGTTAATTAAAATACATTTCCTATTTGTAGATTAAAAACACTTGGCCAGGTATGCTTGCATATCGAAGCGGTAAAGAAGAAAAACGGAAAGAAGGCCGAGGTTTTGCCGGAATACAATTGTCTTGTCTTATCGCCCGCAAATCTCTGGCAACAAAGTTTAGAGTTGTTTGCTCAAGACACAAATCTCATTAACACAATATTTTCTTATCAGGTAAATACACAATCATGAAAATTCAATTATTCCATGTGAGGTAATAGCAGCAGCAGTTTTCACGTCAATAATTTATATTCATTAGTTTTTGTCACAATGTAGCAGATACAACATTCTTTTCGTTTTATATATATATTAATTAACATAACTTTACCTATTGTGAGAAAAATTGTGAGAAAAATTAATCTATTTTCCTGTGCTTATATATTGCAGAATCTTCAAAGGGGTAAGATAAGCCTTGCAGAAGTAATGTTTGGAATGAGTTTGAAAGAAACGGGAGTGAAAAGATATCCTGCTCGAGTTCGTCAGAGAATCCTCCAATATGCCGTAACCATTTATTTGAAGAAATATGATCAAGAGTAAGTGTTTATATAATTCATTAATTTCCATTTTATTATCACTGTGATTGTGTATAGTAAAGCATATTTTATTTGCTCATAGATTTGTAAAAGGGTTGCAGCATCGGTTAAAAACCTATTATCATCTACATCAAAATACTGATAATAGCACGGATGTTGAGACGCATGATGAGATACTGAATATTTTCTATCCTGGCAAATTCAACTACAGTGAATTCTTCCCGCTGATGATGACTTCCCTAGCGTTATTTTTCTACGAATACTTCCAAGTGCGGAAGATAGAACTGGTCAAGTCTAAAATTGGCATTGCGTTTAGTGCTAGCGTGACAGTGATGGGCTCGCTGTCTATGACTGTGGGTGTGTGCTTTTTCTTCGGTTTGACTTTGAGTATGAGTGCTAAAGAAGTATTTCCGTACTTGGTGATTATCTTCGGCCTCGAAAACGTTCAGGTGTTGACCAAGAGCGTTGTCAGTACACCCGCCCAATTGGACGTGAAAATACGCGTCGCTCAAGCTTTATCAAAGGAGGGATGGTCCATCACGAAGAACTTACTCACGGAAGTAACTATTTTGACTGTCGGATTATTCACTTTCATTCCTTCCATCCAGGAATTTTGTATATTTGCCATTGTCGGATTGTTTAATGACTTTTTCCTGCAAATGGTATTCTTCTCGACGATCTTGGCGATCGACATCAGACGAACGGAACTGTCCAGCGAGAATTCCAAGTTTCACCTATCGCACATTCAGGCATCACGCAGACAACAGTTTACCACTACCATTACCAATAGGAAACCCCAAATATTTCGCTCCAAGTCTCATCCGAGATTGAACGGTTTATCTACCGGCCCGACGAACGTCATCGCTCCGAATACGCAAAATACTCACACGCTGGCCAAGATTCCCAAGCGTTTGAGACTGGTACATTTATGGGCGCGGACACGAATCTTTCAACGTGCATTTATGGTAGGAATGGTCGTGTGGATCAGCATGACCATTAACGACTCTGGTATCATCGAGCATATAATACACCTTAGCGAAACACTAAAGCCAGAAACTGATATTGATGGATATACAGTGGACAAGCCTCAATCATTAAACAATTATGTCGAGTTAAATACTGCAACGCCTATATCTGTGTCGCCCGCAACTATAGATCCGGCTAATTTAAACGAACAGGTGAATTTTTCATTTCTTTCTACGGACGCTTTTTTTCTTACATTCTTAAACTAATCCATTTATTTAAGAAAAAAAAATATATTTTTCTTTTTAGGATTTAAATAACAATACAACAGAGGAATTAAACAAATTAAAACCTATGGATTTTCCACCTTGGAATAGCTTATCGCTATATCACTGGTCTTCGATTCTCTTAATGTACAATGTGTCGATAGCCGGTGGACGAGTGACTATATTACCGACGATAAAGTTATCGCACGCGGTGAGCCCGCAATTAGCAAAGCAAATCAGCAATCCAAACGACGTTCAACACTTCCAGTGGCAAAGTCTCGCTACCGCCGCGCTCGATCCTTTAGATTTTTCAGGTTTGTAAAAGTTACAAAAAGCTAATTATCTGGCGTCAGGTCATCAATCTTTTTTTATGCTTATTTTCCTTTAGTTATAGATAAGAGTTTACTTATTTATAGATATGGAGGTGCCATCGAGATCTGAGGGACGCGTATTTAATACGGACGCGCCTTTCGTGCCGTCGAGCCCGATGGAGATATTTCTGGCCGCTCTGCTGTGTCTTATTAGCGTCATCGTAGTCGCATACACGATGGTCGTGCTGTATCGTTGTATCTGCTCGAGGAATTACGCGGAGTGGCGAGCCAGCTGGCACCAGCAAGAAAAGACCCACGACTCCGTTACTCAGTTATTGCTGGAGGCGGTACCCCTGGTTCTGGAAGGCCATACTCAGGAAGTGGAGTGCATCGCGACGGATAATAATACCATCGCTAGCACGTGTTTGGCGGGGCACATCAGGATATGGGATTCGATCTCCGGCGAGCAATTGGCGCATATCGATAGGCGACAGTTCTTCAGCGGTCCGCAAGGAGCGTTAAGTCAAACATCACCGGACACCGACGAGTTGATGTCGGATTACGAGAGCGGTTCGCCGCCCTCCAGAGGAGAAATGGAAGCTGCACAGTCGCTGGGACTTTATTCACCGGCCTCGGCCATGTATCAGGGAAAGTTATCACCCGCTTACAATATGCGAAAAGTTAATAGTAATAATAACAACGATCATAAAAGACGATCTATAGGAAACGCATTGGATTACGATTACCAAATCAACGAGTTCAGCAGCGACAAGCAGAAATTGCTACGTCGAAGCTTGGGTAGCACTTATGATCTTCCCGATTTAAAACCGGCGATTAATATCAAATTCTCAACCATAAGGTATACGCCTTCGCAGAAGAATTACGATCAAGGCTTCGACTTTGGGGATCGATATAAAATTTTGTTAGAAGAGCACAATAGATCGATTGAAGAGATGCAGAAATCTAAAGCCAGGGAACAAATGAGCGTACCTCCTCCCACGAGATTGAGTAATTTAGTTGGCAGTACGTCTTCTATAAATACCGATCGCACGATACAGTCGTCACACATTATATCGGCAATTTGGTGTATGGATTATCAGGAAAATCTCATAGTAGTGGGATGCGCTAACGGCAGTCTAGAATTCTGGGAAGGTACCACCGGTAGATTCAAGGTGAGATTCGAATAATCCGAATAGATGTATCCGACAAATGTAAATCAAATATCTAATTCAACAAGTCTTTTCCTCCTTAATCTAGTGTCTCTTTGATGATGGATCGGGACTTGGGATCTCTGCTGTTAAACTTGTCGGTAGTAGAGTAGTGGCGGCTAAATTGAACGGAGCCGTCGATTTTCTGCAACTCGAAAGTTACAGCGAAGGCCAGCAGATTGATTGGGGCTTCACGTCTTACAGAAGAAGTAAGTAATCTTTAAAATAATGATAAAAATATTATCTATACGCGCGTTATATTTACATGTGTGATATTGTATTATATTACAAATAGCATAAATTTTTTATTTAATTCATCGGCTATTTCAGCGCATGTGCGAACGGGCAGCGCTGGTTCGCCTATGGATTTAAGTAACAGCATGCAAACGGAGGAAGACCTGCGCTGCATGAAAATCGGCTCTCACAGAGCACATCAGCAAGCGATTACAGTTTTGGACAGCGAAGGTGGACGCGTATTAACAGGCAGCCAGGATCACACCCTGAAAGTATACAGGTATAAAATCGAAAGACACTACAATCCAGCTAGCTTTTCCAATTTCACAATTGTTTGTTTATTTATTGATATATTTTTCGTGGATTATCTAGGCTAGAGGATCAGCTACCCCTGTATACGCTTCATGGACATTGCGGTCCGATATCGTGCCTCTTTATCGATAGAATAAGTCCCATGACATCCGGTAGCGGGTCTCAAGATGGATTATTGTGTGTGTGGGATCTTTTGACAGGTAACATCGTCCTCCATAAATATATATTTGATAATTTATTATAATTACTATATGTCTTTTAATTTAATATTCGTGTATAATATTGTTGCAGGAGCATGCATGTATAGTATTCAAGCCCATGATGGTGCTGTAGCCGCTATCACATGTTCAGTGTCCTATGTGATAAGTATCGGAACAGATGAAAGACTGTGTGTCTGGGAGCGCTTTCAAGGACACTTATTACATACTTTGCCGGCACATAAAGCAGCTTATAGTTTACAATTAGTGATGCTAACGCATCACCTCCTCATAACTAGCAATCAGGTATACAAAAATGTTCTTTTAATGCTTATCAATTATAAAAAAATAAATCGCAGAAAATCTAAGATTAATAATATTGATATATCGATAAAGAATCTTATTAATATTTGAATCTAAATTAATGTTTCAGGGATCATTAGTGGTTTGGGATGTGAGAACGGGCGAGCCTGTGCGGGAAGTAAGATTGGGTCATAAAGACAGTTGCATTTTTGTAAAGCAAATGTTGGCATTACGAGATAGCGTCGTTTGCGACTATGGTCGGCAGTTGAGAATAGTTAGGTTTCCATTGGTCTCTGATAAGCTGGACTAAGTTGTTTTTATGCGCGTGTACATAGCCGTTTTTCTTTGTCTAGCATATTTTAGGTAATAATGATTTGAAGAAGTGTCTTATGTTATTAGTCTCTGTTTAGAAATTACAGATTTTTATACGACATATATCGCGTGAACATTCTAAAGAGTAATGTATATTTTCGATGTAAGTTTATGTTGTATGATAATACACGTCTTTACGATAATATATTTTTTATCTGACGGAAACATTATATACATAATCACAGTTTCGATTTTTATGCGGAATCATCGATACTAATGGCATTAAACACCAATTAAAATGTGGAAGAAATGAAGATTATATAATTATACATATACATGGTACGTTCTATTTATATATTTCTTTTTATTTAATTTACATTTTAAGGATGATAAAATTTTGAATTCTTTAATTCTTCGATTATATGAAATAACTTTTCTTAGCTTTTTATGTTTATTTAATATTTTATAACATGCATAGTGGCTGTGCTTTATTTTGGAATATCTATTAGCTTTTTTTAAGTAGCATAAAAAAGCGCTTAATGTTTTAAACGTTTTTTATGTTTTTACAATAAGTAACATCGTGATAACATACAAGCATTTGTAAAGCCAATGTTGTTCTCTAATGCAGAGCAGTAGACAAAACAAAAAATTTAACGATGTAATATTTAGAATAACGATATTATAAAAAATAATATTTCTGCAACGGAGAATGTAAGCTTCTACGATGTTAAATATTTGTATTTAACAAATGGATACTATTTGTTATTATAAATTTATAGAAATTTTTTAAAAGTTGATCAATTTTTGAAATTATCGAATATTGTAAAAATATTTTATTCGATTAAATTTGTAATGTTTTGAAAACCATTATCTGTAAGAGTTCTTATGTAAATTTATATCGAATAGATGAAAATGAACTCACATTTTGTGCAAATCAGGTTTTAAAAGTGCCTTTATCATATTTGTCATTTATATCTTCATATCGAAAAAAAAAACAAAACATAAATATGATAACAAAAGAAAAACAATTCTGTTCCTTATTACTCCGATATAAGTAAAACTTGAGAGAAAATAAAAATTTATTTTTTATTTAGTTATAGAATTTTACAAAATGTATCTTATTTATTTAATAGCATGGTGTGACGATTACACTTTCAAACGAGTGAAGTATTTATCATTATTATTTAACAGAAAGAAAATTTGACAATCAAATTGATAATTTAAAATAATTGTAACCATTGTTTTTAAATACCATGCCAGTTGTGATGTTATGATTTACAATTAATTTATTATTAATTCATTGATAAAGTTAATATAAGATAATTCTTAATATGTCAATACTTCACATATATAATTTTATATATAATAACTCAAAAAAAATATAGCCTAAACGACTTATAATTTTTTTATTTTGGACTCTACATTTATTTCCTGAAATATCGATATATTAAAAGAATTCTCTGTATATTAATTACTTGTGAATATATTTCACTAATTCGAAATTGATTCTACTGATTAATTCCTTAGGAAATCATCCTATAGAAAACCATCACTTTGCACAAAGTACGTTTTTATTTTATGTCGACTATATTTATGTGTTGTGTGTCTACAAGTCAATACAATATCAAGAATATTTCTTTACTTGACTTTTACTTAACATATGGCAGCTGTATTAAATTTTCATTTTACAGGAACGTATAATGCTGTGTAAAAAGACATAGTTTTTTGCGAAGGAGTGCGATGTGTATGCCGTCTTAATCTGCCATATATTACTGTATTTTTGTATGCAATGAATTCTTGCTTAGGGTATATGAAGCGAAAATCTATCTTAGTAAGAAAAACGTGTAAAAGCGTGTATATTCTTTTTATTTATTATTATTATTATTATTATTATTATTATTATTATTATTATTATTGGAAAAAAGCATGATTCTTTCATTTAGCTGAATCGCGAAAATAGCGAAAATTATATATACTTTGATTATAAAATAATAAAAATATATCTGTTTGATTATAATGTATGTTGATTAAGATGCTTGGTAAGAATTTAAGCTGCTATTCGAGCATTAGCGTCGTCATTTCCTAGCGATTGGGCATTGGGTATTATAACGAAATGTACTCTCAATGAAACAGCAAAAACTCGCTAGCGATTAATTAAATCTATATGACTTTTATATTTATTTGATTAATTTAACGCGATTACGCCGAGATTGTATGCACACAGTGCAGAGCAGAATATATTGTTCTTTTAATAAAAAAAAAAACCGTATTTAATATACGCCCAGTCTCATTTTGTCTCGTTTTATTCACGCCACGTCATATTTATTATCGGAGCTTTAATTGGTCTAGCATGGCTAAATGATTTGAGATTCTTTTTATAGTTCTCGGTACCGCATAATTGCAAATGATGCACGCTAAAAAGAAAGGTACGCGATATAATACGAGGAATCGATGTAATTTATGCTCTCTAAAAATCTCTTAAAGTAAACTTTCCTCTTTAGTTGCATCCACTAATTGAATGATTATATTTTGTAGTAGTTGGTATTTCTCAGTATCATTATAACCTGGCGTTGACGTAACATGAATCTTCTAAGTATTCTCAATTTATTAGCAAGTGCCGTCCTACTTTGTGCGATTGCAATAGCAAGTCTCGTCAATTGAGTTCAGATGAATTATTTATATATTTAAATAAAGAAAGCCATATGCAAATATATGTAGGCATTAAAAGCATAATAAGCGAAGAAATTGCGATAGTTCTCGACTTAATTAAATAAAGTATTTTTAATTTTTATACATCGCTGTATTAATATTAATATTTATAATATGATTAATGCTTACAATAATTGTTTAATCTTCGTATATACGTAAAAAAAGTAATGCAAATGAAATATAAGACATCTATTACGAGTGTAAATTTCGTATTATTTCGTATTATTTCGTGTTAATTAATGACATTATTGCCATATCGCGGTATGTAAAATGATAATATTAATCGCTATTTGATATGAGAAAATTAATCAACGTTGATTCTGTAAAGAAGAGTTAAGTAAAAAAGAATCTCGATGACAGCTAAAACAGTAGCGACGTAATCTGCGATTAGATAGTAGGTAGGATAATGATCGGCAATTAACATAATCTTTAACACTTGATTTCTTCTTTTAAGACGTATTAAAAGAAATTACTTCGATCAATCACCTAAATTTTAAATAAAATAATTTTATTTCTCACGCATTCTCTAAAAAATATATTTTGTTGCATATAATATTATTGTAAGCAGATATTTTAACAAAAGCAATTTCGACGAGTTCACATTTCGACCGTTATATAGTCTAAAAAAAATGATCTCCACGTTTGCTCTCGCAGTAATGAAAATCGACAAATTGGAGCACATCGAAAATTGATCATCAAAATGGAAGCCAGCCTTTTTATATATATATATATATATATATATATATATATATATATATACGTACAATAATTTAAAGCTATATATGTAATCTAATCTATACGCAAGATTTTAGGAAAAATAATAGCAAGAATCGAAGAAATGAATAAAAATGATCAAATTTTTTTTTATTGTTAGAAATAAAATGATATATAGTATTATATAATATTATATAATATTAATATAACATTATATAATGATATATAATATTTCTCGGAATAGATTCCGATGTAGCATACAATATATTGCTGCGAATCATTATCAATCTGCATATATATTTGTATATATGCAGATGTATAGATATATTTATATCATTATTGTATAATTCACCAATTTTACCATAAACCTGAATAGTAATTACGAATAGGTGATATTTCCTCTTCCTTTAAAAAAAATATCAATTATTTAGTGTAAATATATCATTAGATGTTAAATTAAAAGCTATTTAAAGAAGCTATTACTCTATCTCCATTCCTCGGGAAAGAACCCGAAATAAACTAGGTAACAAGTTGTCGTTTGATGACATCATTTGACGTCAAGATGATGCTGAATAACGTAAGCTTGCTACCTGAGAGTCTTTCTCGTTTATGTCCCGTTTACATTTATAAATAGTTACGTATTTAAAACATTAATTTTATAAATAATTTTTTTTTCAAAATGTATGTGTATGTTATAAAACCATAATAAATAGAGTTTATTTATTCCTTTATTGATACGTAACTTTACTTCTTTTTTTTTTTTTTTAGAAAAATCTACGCGTATAATCTCAAAAATGATCTCGGAAGATTTTTTATTTATCGACGATATTCACTGAAGAATGTATCATATAAAAATAAATTTATCTTTAAAAAAATATAGATATTAGACTGTAAAGTGATTTTGAATATTAATGTATAAAATATTATGTATAAAGTGATTTTGAATATTAATGTATAAAATATTATGATATAACAATAATTTACACATTAACAACAGCAATGTATATTTGATGGTGCTATCAGGGACAAATAATTTATTCTAATTATTAAACAGCATATAAACAGCATATATTGGTATATTTATCAGCATTAGAAATTGAACATTCCTTGCTC